TAAAAATAAAAACTAATACCTTAAAACCCTAAAGATCTGAGCATCCATTGTACTGCTGTACTCACTAATCCGATCTATTATAAAGTCATTAGAGTTTAGCATTTTTTTGTCTTATACTATACAAGAAATTTTTATCAACAGACTATACAATCTTTGCGACTCTAATATGTGGTATTAAATTTTTATTTTCCAAGTACATATACAAAAAATTTAGCATTGTACTGCTGTACTCACTAATCCGATCTATTATAAAGACATTATCCAACGAGTTTAGCATTTTTTTGTCTTATACTATACAAGAAATTTTTATCAACAGACTATACAATCTTTGCAACTTTAATATGTGGTATTAAATTTTTATTTGCCAAGTACATATACTTGTATATACAAGTACTTGGCAAATAAAAATTTAATTTGTATATATACAAAAAATGTATCTTTCTTATACATTGGATTTGTATCAAATGCAGAAATGTTTTTGCTTATAAATTTCAAACTTTAAACGGGAATACTACCAGACCTAACTAACACTGTCAAAATTATGTGTTAAGAGAAAAAAAATACAAAATATTAGTTCTTTATTATTTTTAAAACGATATTTGAAAAAGTTTTTAGTTCACCGCGTGCTGCGTCCCTCCGTTGAGGGTACTGGGATTAATCCATTATTTATGTATCAATGTAAAATCCAAAAAATTGTTTTAATAAATATTTATAATCTTTATTGTTAAAATAATCAATTTTATTTGTCTATACTTAGTAAAGAAAGTGAAGTGAAGAAAAAGAAAAACTGTTTAGTTTTAATTTCCATTATATTTAATAGCCCAAAATTTTTTTTATAGCCTTTAATGCGTCTAGTGATTCATGTTGTGAATATAATACTAATAATAATAATAATAATAATAATAATAATAATACTTTATTGTCCAACAGTACAAATAACCAATTACAGGACAATTTATAACACATATGTACTGTACAGTAATATTACATATTAACAAAGTGCAACACATATAAAATATATAATAAAATATAGTAAATATAATAAATATAACCTATTTGACAAAATTAAAGATTGATTCTATTCACAATATTATTTGAGGAATAATTAATATCAGGGGAACCATTTAACATGTTAAAATGTCTACACATAATATAAATAGGAAATGTTTTAAGAATATTAGTACGACATCTACAGCAATAAAAAGTTGGACAGGAACGGGTACCCTGTTACCCTGGTACCCTATTATTATGTAATAAATTATAAAGAAAAGATAACGAAGTATTAACTCTTCTAGTTTCTAATGATAAGAAATCATATCTGCCAAGCAGTGTTTCATGACTATAACCCTGAGGTGGGTAGATACCAGTTATTTTATAATTAAGATATTTTAAAAAAATTTCTATTAATTGATTCCAATTGCTTGTTGTAGATATTGTATATAGGATACCAAATTATCGAGCAATACTCCAGCCTTGAACGAACAAATAAAAAATACAGCACCTTAAGGCAATCAATGTTTGTTATATTTTTGGAGTTTCTAATTATAAAACCCAACATTTTTGTGGACGAAAGACAAATATTTTTAATATGATTAGAGAATGAAAGACTTGTGTCAAATGTAACACCTAGATCTTTATTATTATCACAGCGTTCCAGAACAGTACTGTCTATATTATAATTACATTTTATATTATTCTTTTTGGTAATATAAGTCATAGCTTTGCATTTAGAAATGTTTGGATATAATCGGTTTTTATTACACCAATCATTAATTTTATTGATTTGATTTTGTAGAAAGAAACAATCATCAACATTTTTTATGGTGAAATAGATTTTTAAATCATCTGCGAATAATAGTTTATCACATTCAATAATATCTGGCAAATCATTAATAAAAATCAAAAATAGCAAGGGCCCCGTTGGAACCCTGAGGAACACCCGACGTCGATACAATGGGATTGGAATAAAAACCATTATAAAATACTATTTGCTCCCTAAGGTAAGATTTAAATAAACTAATAAGATTGTCATTGAAACCAAAAGAATTCAGTTTGTTATTTAAAACAAAATGATCAATTTGATCAAATGCTTTTTATAATCCGTGTAAATAACGTCTACTGATGTTTATTATCAATAGCTTCAGAAACATACTGATTAAACACTGATAAATTTGTTGAAGTACTACGTTTTTCAAAAAAGCCTTGTTGATATGGAGATAGTTTACATTTAATGTTTCAAAAAATATGTTTATGTACTATGGATTCAAAGACCTTAGCAAAATTTGAAATAATACAAATGGGCCTGTAGTTACAAATTTCTGTTTTTAAACCACTTTTGTAAACTGGAAATACACGAGATGTTTTCCAAATTGTTGGGAATGTCGATGTTTTTATAATTATTAAAGGGTATGTAAAAGTATCTTTACAGTCCTTTAGAATAAACCCAGGGACATTATCAAAACCAGCTGTTGATATTTTAACTTATTAACTGCTAATAATATATCTTGCATTGATATAGAATTTAGAGATATAATTGAGGAAGATAGTGACATATCATTTAAAATGTTGTGTCTGGAATGCACATAGACTCTGGAAAAATATTCAGCAAATGCATTTACTATGGGTTGTGGCTCAGAATATTCAACGTTTCTAAACCGCATCAAACCGGGAATTCTACTATCCGTTTTTTTACCATTGATAAAGGACCAAAATGATTTTGGATCTGTTTTCACTTTATTTTGAATACCATTTAAATAATTTGAGTAATCAAACTTGGTTTTAACTTTCGATTGTTTACGTAGGGTGTCAAACAATTTGTAAGAGTCCATTGATTTACAGGTTTTGTAATCATTGAAAGCATTCTGTTTTTCCCGTAGCATAGTAATTAAGTCATAAGTACACCAGAAAGGATACCTGTTCTTTTTATTTTTATATAATGGTACATGTCTATCAAAGCTGGAGATTGGTACGCTATAAAACATATCACAAGCAGAATCTACCTTATTAAAATTATTCAAAAATGACCAATCAATATTATTAAGTTCATGATATAAATTAACGAAATTTGCATTTCGAAAATTATATCTTTTAATATATGTACATTTTAAATGTTTTATTCTTTAAATTTTGTCCTAAAAAGTCAATTTCCAAAGGTGCGTGATAAGGGTCCACATTTACTACAGGACAATTACTTTTTACAACTTGACAGCTGATATTTGTACAAACCAAATCTAATGGGCGATTGTGATTATTAAGTATACAATTAATTTGTAAGAAATCGAAAAATTCATAAAAATTATTTACACAGTTAGTTTTTGGGTCAAAGATTTTGGATTTTATAAATTTATTGACATTAAAATCACCTAGAACCAGTACCTTTTTATCATATCATACCAATCATTCAAAATTAAAAGCTCAAAAAATGTTCAAACATGTCTGCATTAATATAAGGTGGTATATATATAAATAACTAAAACATAAAAAACGTAATTGTAAATATTAATTTTGCATCCAACCAAATCAATACTGGGAATAGAATCTCTTATAATTTTAAAATCAATTTCAGAAGATTGGTATTACAAGCTAACATAAGTCCTCCGCCTCTGGTCATGTGGACAGCATCATAGTTTCTGTCACAGCGATAAATATTAAAAGAATTAGGAAAATATTCACTACTATTCATATCCTTATTAAGCCATGTTTCCGTTATAGATATAATATCGTATTCATTATTTAATACAGCAGTATAAAAAGAATCAACTAGAAACTTGAATAAGGAATTTTTGTCAAAATGATCTTTAATAAGGAAATGTCGTCTTTTAAAGAAATTGAACAATTTTTTAATCAATCGAGAGTTGACACATTTTAACATTTTAAAATTGTGCTTACCAATTTACTTAATATGCAAATTGTTGTTGTTGGTCACACGTGGTGCTCTCGTCTTAAACTAGTTTCCAACTTATTCTGTCCACAAAATTTAGCTATTTATTTACCAAAATCAGACATTTTAAATATCTTTGAAAGAGATTATTCCGATGTAAACAAAAAGATGTACTTTAAAAAGTAATACATCGATTGACATGAAATTATATTTAGTTATCAAAGACATAATGCCAATCAACAAAAAATAATGAGACGAAAAAGATTAAATCAAAAAATCTCGATACTTTTTCAACACAATAGTATGTTACTGTTAATTAAATAAAGAAATTAAAAAAAGTATACATGTAAAACGAAACACATAAATGGTGTTTCCTAGGATGCTTCAAAAAATAAAATTTAATTTTTTCTCGCTCTTACCCTGTCAAAAACCTCACCAAATATGGGCGTCTCAGCTCAATTCTAAAAGGTCGCTGTTTTTATTTTAGTTTCCCATTTAATTAACATGGGACAAATAATTTTATGTTTGTAATTTTATACCTCTGTATCAAAGTAACTTATAATGTATAATGTAATGATTATTCTAGTTTCTATATATAAAATGTAACGCTCTACAAAAAAGCTCTCCTATTATTTTTCGATAAATTGATGTCTTCTAGAGTTATTCGAGGTCAAAGTTTGATAACATCAAATTTTCTTTTTTTTTTTAATTTTATGGTAGTAGACAGGGAGGTAAAAGGGGGCAAAACAAGGCAGCGGGGGGGGAAATGGGGTACCCAAAAAATGAGCATATGAAAAGTTTTTCAAAATTGTACCATCCTTTTTCTCGCTCTACAGGCTCAGAATAATTATTTTCGATTAAAAGCGTGAACTTGTGAGTCAATTTTCAAATAATTAAGAAACCGAAAAAAATAATCTAAAATTTTTTTTTTACGAAATTACGAAAGCACCCTAGTATATCCCCAATTATAATAATTAATGAAATCTTTTCCTTATAAATACTCAATCCATCTAAAATTGACGATTCTGGTCAGACACCGGTAGAAACAAAAAAAACTATTAATGGAAATGTGTGTATTTAATTAATACAAAAATAAAAGTTCCAATATAAAAAACTTTACCTGTCCATCACCGCATGGTGATCCTTCAGCAGCAGGTCTATATGCTACGCAGTAGCCACTTCCAGCATCAAAGCAAAATAGTTGTGCACATACTCTATCATCTTTCTAAAAATATATATACATATATAAGACAAAACCTAAAGAAAACTCTGAAAAACTTACAAAACATGCACTGGTTCCTCTATCTCGTCTACATTGAGCATCTAATGTAAGAAGTTTTCCTGGAAGTACCCGTGGAAGACTATCATCCTCATGGGGGGAATTAAATAAACAAGTTGCCGTATCTCCGCTATAAAGAAAGTTATATTAATACAATATTACATAACAACATAACAACAAGCACCGCATTCCAATTTACTCCTTTTTAATCACAGATGTCAAAAAAGCTCAAAAGTCGTTTTTGTAAAAAATATTAACTTTTTATGCAGGGTGTCCTAAAATCATTGGACCAAACGAAACCTTGCAAAAATCTAAGACTAAATTTCCTTTACTTTTTTTTCGAATTCGCAAAATTACAGGAGTTATTTCATTTTTAAAGCCACCAGTGGAAGCGCAGTAAAAAGTTATAAAGTATTTTTTATGGTAATTTCTTCACTTTTACACTAAATTATTACACTGTGCGATAGTAAAAATCTCAGATAAAATTTTTTCACCAAAACATAATTCTTAAAGGATTTTGTTCAAGTAGTTCGCATTTTGAAAAAATTCAGAAACCTGCAAAAGTTTGGAACAAATTCATTTCTCAAATTTATGGTACGACCACCAACATATATCTGCGATCATGCCGTTAAATTTTTTTCCCCGATAGCGAACTTCCATCGGCATGCCGCAACATAGCAACTTGGTAAAATCGTTCGTCATGCTCGTCGCTTTAGATGTTAATTTTTTTTCAAAAAAGTCCATGTGCTTGTGAAGGAAATCTTTCTTTAAAGACATATTCACTCCTTAAAAATATTGATTTAAAATTTTTATTTCGTCATCAAAATTATCTGAAATCAAATCACGAAGTTTATTGTCTTTATCAACTAATCGACTTTTTCATATGCTTTCAACATTTCGTTTACATCCACTCGATAATTTTCAGATCTGTGATTCCCCCAAAAAATCTTAGTCGCGGTCCACGCGTTCAACTCTGCTTTGGTTAAAAAATTATCGAACATATCGTCACTTTAATAAGTTTTCGAATATCTGGGCCATGCCTTGAAATCCCACTAGATTGGTTGCTCCCGGTCATGTTTTGCGTATTGATTCCCTTTGTACCGAATGTCCCAAACACAGAGAAAGCACATTTGTTTTGTATATCTTCCTTGTATAGTGTCGATACAACTTTCAGGTCGCAGGAATTTTTCCACCGATGTTCATCGTACTTGATCGTTTTCAAAATAGTCTCGAACGATTCGTGCGATTCCTTCATAGAAGTGCTGTAGGCGATATTATCATGGGTTTCTTATTTAAGTTGTGCAGAAGAACCACTTTTAAACTTGACGTCGATGAATCCATAAACAAACGCCAATCAGTACTGTTGTATTAAATATCCTTTCCTTCCATTAACTTCTCAATGCCATGACAGCTTGTTAATGTATATTGGCTATTCACCGTGTAGTGTTTTAAAAAATACTCTTACCGTTTGCGATAACTGGTGACGTTCACGCCCAAAGTCAAGTTGTTGCCTTGTTTTTAAAAAGTTGCAAGTTGCTCTGGTCCTTGATGCGACAAATTCAAAACCGCTACCATTTTATCCAATAGTTCCTGCGAAACAGGAATTGGATCCTTTGACGAATATGGTTCTGGTTTAAAGTCGGGATCATGATGATGATCATTGGTCGCGACAGATACTGTAAACACGAAGTCGGCTTTTCGTGACCTTGGAATGACAAGGTTTTAAGTGCCGCTGCCCCGTTAAGCAAAAATGCCTTACCTGCAATAATTAATACTCTAGATAAGTCATTTTTGCTTAACGGCGTAACTGCACTTAGAACCTTGTCATTCCAAGGTAACGTTTTGTTGAGTTCTTGACAAACGTGTTGTACTTTGGCATAACTGGGATTTGAGGGGAATGGATAGTGAATTGGAATATAACGTAGAGAGGAGGAGTGAACCCGAGTGAATCCGATCGCCCCTCCCCAGAAGCCCCTTCCCAGATGCATTGTAAGCAGATTGCCAGCGTAAGCGTGTGTATTTCGAGCGTTTTAACATAAATTAATTTCTTTTATTTAAAATTATAAGTTATAATGTCCTACACATTGCAAGAGAAAATTGACATTTTGAACACCATTTCTACAAAAAATGCTGCCGTTTGGTTTTAAACATTTACACAAAAAATTGCAAATTTTATTAAAAATGAAACCGTTAAAACCGCACATGTCTAAAGTAATTGGGTAGCGAGATACGATTTTGTATAATCGAACAAACTTGTTATTTTTAAGTCGCGTTTATTGGAAAATGTACATTTTCGTGAAATAAACGATATTCTAGCGCAAAATTACTTAAAAAAATAAAAATTGTTACCAAATGGTTTATTTCTACTAAAAATAAATCAAATAAACAATAAACAACTATGAGTACGTTAGAGTAGCGAATATTCTACTGTTTTTATTATCTTATACCCAGATAGCACAAAGAAGTACTAAAAACGTCCTGAGTATATCTTGTATCAGACATTAGTAAGTTCCGAGTACGCCCGAATCAGGTCCTGAACCTTCCCCAGGACGTTCAAGGGACATCCGATGTTACCAAATCGTCGGTCCCCAGAACGTCCTAAGTAAGACATCCTCTGGCCATCCTGAAATGCTTTATTGGGGACTATTGGACAAGCTTTACAGAATTAAAGAGTCTAAGTGAAAAAAATAAAATTGTGAGTTATCAATGAAAAACAAATATTTTGCACATGTTAATGTTGAAATATTTTTCGTCATTCTGCATAACTATTTTTAAATGATATTATATATATACCCTTTGGAAATACAATTACTAAAAAAACAAAAATTACGTCCTTGGGACGTACCCAGTATATCCACTATAATTTTCCCAAATCAGTAAGGGACTGGACGTACCCAAAACTTCCGATATAGGTCTGGGACGTTCGGACCTCTTGTGCTATCTGGGTAATAATGCGGCTTATTTGTAACAACGCAGTGTAAAGCCGACAAAAGATAAAGGCGTTGCGCGCTCAATGCATGCCGCTCTTTAGGCAAGTGGAGAAAGCAAATTCGCTTCTGTTTTTATGTCAAGGATATAAATTTATTTCAGATGAAATTAATCAGTAGTTAATAAATACTAGTTATATTAGACAGCAGTCACTGCTAAGCAGTGTTTGTGTTCGATAAATTTTGCCCTATGTTTTAAGGTATTTATGAAGTTTTATTATTAAAATAAATTTATTAAACCAGCAGTACATGATCAGGCGCATGCTAGAATGATTTTAGGGCCCGGAAAATAGTTCCCTTACAGGGCCCTCCCACGCCTTAAATTTTATGTTTTAGAGAAAGGGTTGGGGAACTGGTTGGGGTGTTGTGTTTGTGTTATTCAAATCTTACGTAGCGTGCTGAGAAGGCACTACTCACTAATAACCAGGGACATGTAACGCGTTTCTGGTATGGTTGAAAAAAAATATTTTTTACACAAATTTTATAATGTTTTATTTCTTTTGAAATTATCCCTGTCTCTTTCTCTCTCTCTCACACACACACATACACACACACACACACTAAAATTTCTCACATTCCCTAGTTTATAAGAAGTTTCACTTCTACCACGTGTACGATGCTGCACATGATTTTTTCTTTTATCCATTCTAGCAAATGTATATAGCAAGAATAACAAACTAATTTGGGGCCCACGTAACATAATATTTTTATATAATTCCAATATGTTACTCGATTTTATGTTGATACGGATGCTACTTCTTGTGAATTTTTCACAGACATAAAAAAACTTGTTTATTTGCTGCTGACACTTATTTCCCATTTTTCACTCGCCTAAACAATTTTGCTTAAACATGCTAACGTTTTTAACCCTTATGTGCACGGAAAGGTACAGGTGTACCTTTTTAATTTTTGTTATGCAGTAACTTATTTAATTTAATTTAAAAATGGTACATGTTTTATGACATCTTAAAATAAGGAAATATAATGCCTTTTATGTAAAAATTATAACATTTACCTTACGTAGAAATTTTTTATTTTAATCCCAAACTTATTATCCCATTTAAGCACGGATAGGTTCATTCGTACCTATATGTGTTTAAGTTGAAAATTAATAGGGGGGGGGGAATAAAAACAACAATAAATTCACAAATATATATATATATATACAGTTCAGAAGTGAAACATTTTGTGATGGTTTGAGCATGTTCATCACATATTGGGATTTTGCAAACGCTGCAACATTTTCTGGTTTTTCTTTGCTTTTTATTTTTGTTTCGGCAAATATAGCATGATCCCACTACTGGTTTAGGGCCTTTAGATTTTTGAGGTTTATTTTCCATAGCAAATGATGACCCTGGTGGTACCAGTGGATGCCCCATCATCGATTATAGTGAATTTTTGGTAGAAAATATGTTTACAACATTTGGCATTTGCGAGCTTTTTCCAGTATTACCCATTGCGAGGCTGCATCCTAAATCTTGATAAAAAGTTCTTCGGCTATGTGATGACGACATAATTCCCTTTGGCCCTCCATGTCTTCAAACACTTTTTTTATATAATTTTTTTTAATTCAAAGCTTTTAATTCTTTAGAGAGATATACTAACCAAAACACTAAACATTAAACAATTCCAAAAACTTGCTTTCGCAAAACAAAAACATGTTTTCTAGTAGAAGGTACAATTGTACCTATCTATGCGGTATCAGTAGATTTATTCTCTATGCACATAAGGGTTAAGAACAACAAGAAAAAACTATTAAATTAACAGTTTTTGCTCATTCGATATAAATAAGCTTTACTGAGAGTTAAAATCTCAATCATTGAATTCGAATTCGAATTGAATTCATTTTGAAAATTTTTTTGAAACATTTTGAGAAACTATAAATATTTCTGAAATAACAACTTTTTAATTTTGTCGAGGAAACCGGTCCTGGATTGTTTAGTAACCAGTTTAATAAAACAACTCTGAACCAAAACCCAAAAATACTTAAGAAAATAAATACTTTAATTTTTCAAAAGTGATCAGTGCAATTACAATTGTGTTTATAGACATTATACAGCGAAAACTGTAAGTTAATTCTATTTAGACTCTAAATTAATGTGAATAATTCCGGCATTCATACATACACCGAATAGTTTTTACA